ACCCCGGGGCGCGGGCCGAGGAGGAGGAGCGGGAGCCGGCGCGGCTGTGCGGCTACCTGCAGAAGCTGTCGGGCAAGGGCCCGCTGCGCGGCTACCGCAGCCGCTGGTTCGTGTTCGACGCGCGCCGCTGCTACCTCTACTACTTCAAGAGCCCGCAGGACGCGCTGCCCCTCGGCCACCTGGACATCGCGGACGCCTGCTTCAGCTACCAGGGTCCCGACGAGGCGGCCGAGGCCGGCGCCGAGCCGCCCGCGCACTTCCAGGTGCACAGCGCGGGCGCCGTCACGGTGCTCAAGGTGGGGAGCCCGCACCTGGCGCCCCTCTCCCCGGCGCTCTGCGCCGCCGCCGCCGCCCTGCCGGCCTCCCTCTCCCCGCCTCGGGCCGGCGCACCCGGGCTTGTCCCCCTCCCCCCCAGGGGCTGCGGGCTGAGCGGTGCCGGCACCCCTCCTCCGCCCCTCACCTGGGCTCCCCCGCGCGCGACGTGGACGCCCCGCGCAGCCGTCCCAGCCGTTCGCGCCTGCAGGCTTCTGGACCTGCCTAGGTTACGACCCCTTCGTGCTTCCGCTGCCGCTTCTGTAACGAGGCGGGGCGGGGGGGCGACCGTGGACCCCTGGTGGGGGTGGGTCGGAGGGGCCAGGGCCCTCCCCGGTAATTCCCTGCAGCCAGCGCACGGTGGGGCAGGGGCGCTCAGCGAAGGTCGCACAGCCTGTAAGTGGCCAAGCCTGTTTCCTTGCTCCTTACTTTGCTGGGAGACGTGGGAGGGGGTTCCTTCAGCCGGTTCTGCCTTGCGCAGGCGAGGCTTCCTTCACCTGTGGCAGAGAAACCTCGCGTGGAAGATCGGTGGAGAGTCCTGGTGCTGGTGCCGGAGTCCTCCCCTGGCCTGGGGGGTCCCCTCCCCTGGCCTGGGGGGTCCCCTCCTCTCCCCGGACCCTCGGGGCCCTCCTGCTGGAGCTCACACCTCTCTCCTGGCCTGGCTCCCTGCCTGGGGGCTCTGAGCCCCCACCCTCAGTCCTCAGGCTGGGCTTTGCCCCCCCGGGCAGCAGGGCTGGGCTGGCCTGTTTGAGCGCTCTCCCAGACCAAGTGCAGAGCAGAGTGGGCTGTGCCTGCTTCCCGTGGCCGGGCGAGCCCAGGACTGTTCCCAGGCCTCCAGAGCACGCAGCAGCTGGGGCTGCTGCCCGAGGTCATCTCAGAGCCATGTCAGCTCAGCTGCTTCCATTCAGGCAGACTGATTCCTGGGTTCTTTCCGGCCCCTCCACGCCATCTGAGTGGGTGCAGACAGCCTGCTTCTGCAGGGGAAGCCAAGCAGGGTTGCAGTACAGCTCCGGCTGACTTGGAGACCGTTTGTATAAACTTGGGAATGACTCCAGGGAGCGCACAGGGACCTCTGCCAGAAAAGGGCTTGTCCTCACTGTGCATGCGGGCAATCTGTGTCAGATGGATTTCCTGTGGAATTATTTGTTAACAAAGAAAATGGAGCATCCTGTTTCAGGTTTTCTCAGCTGACTTTGGAGCCCTCGGTCCGTTTTCTCATTGAGAGAAATGTGAGTAGTGGAGGTTCGTCCCTCCATGGGGCTTGAGGTTCAGGTGAAGACGGTGGCCACAGAGCCGAGTGGCCTGAACTCACGTGGGTCTGCCACGCACGTGTGTTGGGCAGCGAGCGCCCCCTGTGTGTCCCAGCCCCCTCTGGTCTAGTGGGACGCTCACCTTCCTCCTTAGGGGGTTGTGAGCATTCTGGAAATGTGGTGGGAACGTCTGGCAGAGCGTAGGCCCTGCGTGGCAGCTGTACGAAATGACGAGTAGCATCTGGGGTCAAGTGTGTGGCATATTCGCGTAACGGAATGTTTATACAGCAGTGAGCGTGAAGAGGTGACAGCTGAAGCGTTAGCTCGCATAAAACGGGGCAAGAAGATGGTACAGAGCGATTGCATACGGACAGCACCGTTGATGGAAGGTTATGAAGCTCACGCGGCTGTCTGCCGTGTCGTGAGTGCAGAGCGGCGGGGGGTGATGAGGCCTGGATTCGGGGCGGACTTGCTGCATAGGAAGATGAGGCAGGCGTTCAGTGTGTTTGCACTGGACTGGGTGGTGGGTGCCCCAGGGCACTTTATAGCATTCTGTCCATCTTGTTCTATGTCCAGAATATTTTTAAAAAAAGGAAATCAGTTTTCACGTGCATTCCTGACTGAGGAATATGGAAAGTTGACTAGTCGCTGAGGGTCTGCTTTACAGAAACAGTGGGAATGGGAACACAGGCAAGGCTTCCCAAAAGAAGGGAGTGGTGGAGACGTGGGCTTCCGGAGTAGGGGCACGCTTTGAGAAGGATGGTGTAGGGGATTCCTTTTGAGCTGTGGGAGTAAAACTTTCGTGGTGGTAAGGTGGGGATCAGCCGTTTATCTTCCTTGTCACCCATCAGGGCCTGTAAGCATCCTCGGCCAGTGGGGAGCCCCTGATTTGCAGGGAGGATCTTAGGCTACTGAGGACTAAGCCCTGCTCGGGCTTCAGCTGGTTGCATATCATTTTACAGATACTATCTCTCTGGACAGATGACTTAGAAAAGAAAAATCAGCAATTTGCTTATTGCATTATCATGTGTTTCTTATTTTAAAGCGTCTTTTCAGCCCTCCCTGGCAAAGCTGTGGTTTCGTTGGGCTTTTTCGAAATGTTTTACTGCTTGAGTCTTAGTGAAAACTGATATTGGAATTTCTTGCTAAGCTTCTCTGTTGCTGAACTCGGGGATCTGGTCCAGCGCCTTGTTTTACAGACGAGGGAACAGAGGCCAGAGAGGGGCTGGGATTTGCTGGAGATCGGGAAGCTAGACTGAGACCCCCTCTGAGAGTCGACACTCCGGGAATAGCGAGTGTCCGAGATGCAGAGTGTGTAATTGTGTTAGGACGTCAGTGCTTTGGGATGAGATAAGGTGTAGCACTTCTCCCTTCACTGCATTTGATTTCTGTCCTTTTCACGTCGTGAGAAAGCAGCAGGGGCATTTTACATTTGGAAGCTGCTATGGCCATCAGGCAGAGGCCAGTGGTGCCAGGGCGGGTGAGGAGAGTGTGCTGCTCACCGGGCTTTCCGGGGCTCTGAGGAGCAGGGGACAGTTCTGGAGGGAGGCCAGCGTGTGACTGATGGGGGGGGGGGGTAAAGCGTGAGCGGGAACCAGCCTCCTCTGCCGGGCCTCTGCAGGCCCTGGAACAAGGGGCAGCGTCAGCCTGTCAAGGACCAATTCTCCGCCCTCCACCCCTTTCTTGGGGCCGTTTGGTGCTCAAATGGACAAGGGGTCGGTTTCTGAGTCACATGTAACTACCCAGTCATGAACCCACTTTCCTGGGAAGGATGCACATTCTCTGGTGTTGAAACTGCTCGCAGCTTAATGACAAACGTTTGTCAGCCTGGGTAGTCATCGTGTGTCCCACGCAGAAGAGAGGCTGGGAACTCTGCCTTCCTGGCACCACTAAGCTGTCCTGCCCGAGGGCATCCACTCGGGTCTCTAAGTGTTACTTAGATCTTTGGTCCAGACTTCGCTTTTCAGGGGTTTGTCAGGGCGGCCCAGCTAGGACACTCCTTAAAGCAGGGGCGGTGTCCTGCGTGCGGTACCCCAGTGGCTTGCCCAGTCCTGCTGCCTGGCCCGGTGCTCCTTACGGCGTGGTCCGCACCCCGCTCCTGAAGTTTGCATCCTGACCTCCTGAGCGGTGCCCGTGCAGAGCAGGTGCCCCGGTGGGTATGTGTGCAGTGCGAGCACACAGGGTGGTCGCCCAGTAAGCACTGGTTTGGGGAGGGCTCCGGCCCTCTGGGAGGGTGAGCCAGATCCCCCAGTGTATCCAGTGACGCTCTCCCTTGCGGCATGCTGTGAGCGCCCACTGAATACGACAGGCATCAGCTACGCAGAGAGGGTGCGGCCCACCCAGAGCACAGTCAGTCCTGATTTTCGGGCTCTGGTGTTTCGCGCCCCTGGCTGGACGCCCCTGTAGCCGTGGGTGAGTGTTTTAAGTCCAGGGCCGCAGGGGAAATATTTTAGGTCTTGCCACCACACCGTTTGACTCCTCTGCTGTCATGATCCAGAAACAGCCATAAAATGAGTGTAACAGTGTCTCTGTAATTTTTACTTATGGACTACGAAATTTGAATTTCATGTGATTTTCACATGTCACAAAATACTGTTCTTTCAATTTTTTTTCCAACCATTTAAAAGCATAAAAACCATTCCTGGCGTGTAGGCGTATACCCAGGCGATGGGCTGGATATGGCCCGGGACTGTGGTTCAGGGACTCACATGTTTCGGGGGACCTGGGGCCCCTCTCACCCTGCGCACTGGGCGTGCAGGCCGAACGACATGGGCCAGTTCCTGCCTGGCGGGGCTTTCGGTAACGTGGGGAGACGGACGGTCACAGCAATGGGCGCCGTGCAGCGTGGGAGGAACGAGGTGTGAGCATGTGTAACGGGGGACCCGATCTAGTTCGCAGGGGAGGGCTGGGAGAGACTTGCAGAGGTGTGAAGGTTGGGTTGGTGTTGACCACAGGGGAGAGGGGGAGGGGGCCTGGCGGGAGCAGAGGTGCGTAGGCGGGAGTGCTGTTCACGTGTGGGGCTCTGGGAGTTCCAGGGGGCAGCCAGGGAGAAGGGGGCACAGCCTTTGGACGGGGAGGCCTTTGGGGCCAGAGTGCAGGGATCAGCGGAGTTTTCAGTGGGGGTTGAGGGTTTTTTTTCTCTCTTCCAAATGGGTGGGTGGGTCACGCCCAGTACTCGCATCTAACGGCCTGGAGGACTGTCCAGCCTGTGTATGAAGGGTTGACATATGTATGTGACAGCCTGGCAGAAAGGTTTCAAAGGAAACAAACGTGAAGGTAAAGATTCTGTGGCCTCTTGCTTCTTAGCACCACGGTTTCGGGGGGGAGTGGGGTCTGGGAGGCCGCCTGGGGGGGCTTGTGTGGCTGGGGCCTGCCCTGCGGGGTGGACTGCCCATCCCAGAACTTTCCTCATGACCACCTTCACCAAACGCTTGCCTCTTCCACCCGCTTTGCTCAAATGCACGTTGCCAACTTCCTTCCCCTTTGGAGGCAACCGTTTCTTAAGAAATGGGGGGAGCCGGGGCGCCTGGGTGGCTCAGATGGTTAAGCGTCTGCCTTCAGCTCGGGTCATGATCCCAGGGTCCTGGGATCGAGCCCCACGTCGGGCTCCTGGCTCAGCGGGGAGCCTGCTTCTCCCTCTCCCTCTGCCTCTCTCCCTGCTCACGCTCTCTCTCTCTCTGTGTATCTCAAATGAATAAATAAAATCTTTAAAAAAAAAAGAAAGAAATGGGGGG